CTTTAGCGGGTCTGGTCCCCGGGGACACGGGGCCTCCTCCAGGCCCCCAAGGACCGCAGCTGATCCCCAGAGGAGCTGGGACTCCCTGGGGTCCGAGATGCAAGAGACTGCGCTGGGGTCCCTTTGGCAGGACTGGGAACTTCCTTCTCTTGGAAGCCTCAGCGTAGTTCCGCCTGCTTCCCCCAAGAGGGGGTGTTGGAGGTCAAGGTGACCCTACCCATTTAAACGTGCTCACTGTGTGTGTGTAAAACTCTTCCTTGGGCCACAAGATACCTCCAAGGGCCCCGTGCACCAGGCAGCCCCACCTGTCTGTCCTCTCCTAACGGATTCCCACATCCTGGGCTCCCACCTGCACCCAGACTAAAGAGCCGAGCCCCCCAAGGCCACGGGGTGCCAGGCCGGGCCCCCGGGCCCCGCAGAGACGGAGACGGTACCTTTAGCTGCTTGCGGACCTTCTCGATGAAGAATTTCCAGCACAGCTCCCGGGTGTCGACCATGCCAAGCGACTTCACCTGCGGCCGCATGGACGCGATGATGTTTTCCACCTCGTCGTCCATGAACAGCCCGGGGATCTCCCCCGAGGCCAGCAGGTCGTTGATCAGCACCAGAAACTGCTCCTCGGCCACCTGGGAGTCCGTCATCAGGAACACGGACGGCACATTCTTTACGGCCGACTTGATGTACTGCGAGCTCAGGTCGGTCTGCGCCCGGGGGGACGCTCTCAGGGTCCTGGCCGCGAGGACGCGCACGGAGGCGTCCCCACAGCCCCCCAGGATGGCACCCCCCAATCAACGTTGTAAGAAACACTGGGGTCTCTGGAGGGAGGGGCGAAACCCTGGGCGGAAACTGCTCACAGCACAGCAGCGCTGTGCGCCAGCCCAAAGCGGGGGGGGCACCCCCGTGTCTGCCCACGGATGCACGGCAAACACAGCGGGGCTGTCCACAGTGGGGTGCCCATCCACACAGTGGGGTGCCACGTAGCCCTAGAAACGAAGGAAGTTCTGACACATGGCCGGACCCTGAGGACATTACACTAGTTGAAATAAACCAGCCTCCAAGGGACAGATGCTGCGTGATGCCACTCCCGTGAGGTCCCTAGACGGTCAAATCCATAGAGACAGAGAGTGGAATGTGGGTGCCAGGGGCAGGGGGTGGGGGTCACCGATTAATGGGCAGAGGTTCAGTTTGGGACAACAAAGCATTCAGGAGATGGAAGGTGGGGATGGCCGCACAGCAGTGTGAATGTGCCCAGTGCCACCGAGCTGCAGGGCTCGACAGCTAAACTGTGTGTTACGCAGGTTTTATCACATACACAAGGGGGGGAAACCTTTAAATGGGGACCCTGAGCGAGGCCCCAAAAACGTGCACCACGGGCTTGGACCGGGAGGCTGAGCCCCGGGGAAAACGAGCAGCAGTGGCCGGGGCGAGGGCGAGCGGGCCGCACCTTGAGGTCCGGGATGCCGTAGCCCTTCTTGAGGGTGATCTGGAACACGTCCAGCGCGCTGATGTAGGCGGCCAGGCGCGACAGGCTCTGCTTGCCGCTGCCGCCCACGCCCACCAGCAGGGCGTTCCCGCGCGGCGACTCCAGGATGCGGTTGATCCTGCAGATGTGCGCCACCGCGGCTTCGAACAGCACCTGCCGGGGCCACACGCCTCAGCATGGGGCCTCGCGTGGACTCGCCTTCCACGGCACAGGGCTTCGTCCACCCCCGGCGGCGCTTGCCACGAATCACACAGCCCGGGAGCGCCATCGAAGCGCCCACGCTATCGGCTCGAGCCCTGCTCACCAAGTTCATGACCGCGTTGACCTCGTTGTAACTGTCCAGGACGTCTGAGAGGAGTCTGTTCAGGCGAGCCATGTCGGTCACCGGGAGGTATTTGGGGTCGCCGATCCCTTGAGCAAAGTGGCTGAAGATATTTGGTTTGGCAAATAAAAGCTCTTCGCCAAGATCCTACAGATAAGAGATAAGGTACTTCTGTGGCTGGCTGCTGTGGACACGCCGTGGACAGGCCGTGGACAGGCCGTGGACACAGCAGCCAGTGCCTCAGGAGGCCAGGTCAAGTCTCCTGGGGCCCAAACCATTGTTCCCGGGAGCCCTGGGGACAGCTGGGCAAACCCCTTGTGGGATGGTCCATCCCCATCAGATGAGAAACAAGCTGATCACCGAGACCAGCCAGGACGCTCCAGCAGAGCACCCGGACCCAAGGGGGCCTTTCTGCGCCCCTAGTGGACGGTGGGGGGCTGTCAGATCCTGACCCACCGAGGGGCCCATTCCTTCTCACTCAGATGCACACCCACGTGGCAGAGTCGTTTCGTGGGACCCAACGTGGTCCCCCCCCCCCGAGGGCCCTTCTAGGAGGGCTGAGGTTACCATCGGCCCAGGCAGCGAGCCCACTGGGAGCATTTTCAGGCTCTGCAGGGGGACCTGGTTGCTTGACTCACGTCAAAGAACTTCTTGGTGGACGCCATGGTGACTCGGTGCAACGCCTCCTGGTCTTTTTCGTCAACCATCTTGTCCCCGTACACTCTTTCCGCTTCATGCAGCCAGAGGCGGACGAGGTCAAACGGGGTTTTCAAGACCTCTGTTGTGGAAAACAAGAGCCCCTGCCCCCCCAGGACGCTCAGCATCTTCGGCCGGGCGTGAGGCAAGGCAGCCATGCGCTGGGCTGGGAGGAGCGGGGCCGCCGTCCCTTCCCGGGAGGAGCCATTTGGCTGCTGGTACAACGTCTCCCTAGGGCCAAGGAAGCTCCCAGCTGCCAAGTCCATGCAAACCCCAGAGACTGGAGGGTGTGACTGTGGCTGGAGAGACTCGGGGGACCTTTCCTCACAAGACAAGGTCAAGGGCTTCAGGCACCGTGGGGGAACCGGACTCAAAGGCCTCAGCGCAGTGGGGTTACAAGCTTGGGCCCTGCAGCCCGCCCGGGTCCAGCTCCGGCTCAGCGGGTTACTAACCAAGTGACATGGGCAAGTTCAACAGGCGCTTTTTGAGGGTCCGCTATTTTCCAGAGCTCTTCTGGGCTCTGGGAACATGGTGACAAGACAAACCCTGCCTTTATGGAGTTTGCATTTTAGTAGGAGATGTAACCGGGCCAAAAAACCAAAAAGCAAGGAAGTGACACACTGTGATGGGCTATGAATGACACAGGCAGCGGCAGTGAGAGAGTGTGGGAATGAGGAGGGACCCCCTGCGGACATGACATTTGAACTGACACTTGAAGTGGGAGGAGGTGGGCATGACTTCACCTCCCTGAGCCTTAGGCTCTCCTGTAACATGGGGATGTAAGAGCACTACAGGTTGTTTGGAGGAGAAAATGGGGGTGTAAGTGGCCTAACCCAGTGCCTGGCTCAGACTAAACATCAATAAATAAGAGGAAACGTCATCATTATCATCACCATCACCATGGTAACCATGTCACTGTCACTGTCATCACCATCATCACATCAATCATCACATCATCCACCATCATTATAATTACAGCATCACCATTATTATCACCATCACCACCCCCATCACCATCACCACCACCATCACCATCATCACCACCATCACCACCATCACCACCACCATCACCACCACCATCACCACCACCACCACCATCACCACAATCATCACCACCATCATTACCGCCACCATCATCATCACCATCACCACCATCTCCATCACCACCACCATCATCTCCATCACCACCACCATCTCCATCACCACCACCATCATCTCCATCACCATCATCATCTCCATCACCATCACCATCACCATCACCACCACCATCACCATCATCACCACCACCATCACCACCATCACCACCATCACCACCATCATCATCACCACCACCATCATCTCCATCACCACCATCATCTCCATCACCATCACCATCACCACCACCATCACCATCATCACCACCAACACCACCACCATCACCACCATCACCATCACTGTCATCAGTCCACAGGCCACTGCTTTCTCTCCTGAGGGAAGCAGAGGAGGAGAACGCCTATGGGTCAGACACTTGGCCGCAGGTGGCATGGCGCAGAGCTGGAAGAGCAGTACCTGGAAGATGTTGGAGAGGTCCCTGAGGTTGAAGATGTAATGAAACTTGATGGCGGTGGGAAGAAAGGTTTGTGTGACTNACAGAATTCTGGCCCCTGGAGTATGCGACGCGCGTTCAGGCTAACGTGGCCCCGGGTTTGCCTGCTTCGCACACACGGACGTTGCGGGAGCCGCGGGGAGACGGTGCAGCTGTTGGGCGTGAGGCTGGCAAAGTGTTTTAATAGCACAGGGAAGTTTTTTTTTCACCCTAACAATGTTAAGTAAAAAAATAAAAGCAGAGCAAATAATTGCATGGATACAGGATTATTTCAACTTTGGAAAGAAACTTTAGAAAAAAGACCGAAACTCCTTCAGTGTTGGCAGTGGCTGCTCCCCGGGGGCGGGCCTGTCGGGGTTTCCCAGGCTTTTCTCTTACACTTTAAACTGTTCTTTATCTGTCAAATGCTTTCCTGTCACCCAGGCCTCTTCCTCAGCAGATGGGGTCTGGGAGATGTGGGGGTTCTCGCCTGGGGTCACTGGGATCACGGGAGCGGCTCTTTCTCAGGGTCAAGCAGACCCTGGGGTTGGGTTGCCCCCAGGGGGGGCAGGCAGGGGCCACGTGAGATATGAACAGTGGGTTTGGCGTGCTCAGGAGCGGAGAGCCACGCAAGGGCTGGGGTTTACGGGTAAAACGTGGCAGTGCCCCCATACACCCCTCCCATGCCCCCCACCCAGGGGCAGCACTGCCGGCCAGGGTGACTGTGTCCCTCCAGGCCCGGTGCACTTGCAGGGCGGCCAGATTTGCCCGGGCCGCCGCCAACCGTCTGCAGGGTCCCGCCTTGCCCAGCGGCCGAGGCCCTGCCCCGCTCGGGCGAGCGGGGGATTCGGGGGCCTCACAGCAGCGCCTGGACGCAGGCCCCCGACAGGACTCAGGGCTGAGGGAGCCCCAGGCCGCGGCCAAGCCCCACTCACTTGAACGCCTTCAGGCAGGTCTCGGGGATGTGTTCCTTGTCGAACTTCTTCAGGGAGTCCAGGAACGTGTCCACTTTGCCCATCATGATTTTCGCCGCCTTCCAGCTCTTGTCCTTGGGGATCTTGCCCCCGGGCGCCGTCAGAATCATGACGGCGGCCGTGACGTTGACCACGGCGTCCGGCGGGGACCCGAAGGACTTCAGCTCTGTCAGGTTGTTCTGCGAACGACAGGTGGGGACCAACCTGACGGGGGACCCGGAGGCCCCGGGGACGGCCCCAGGGAGCCTGCTGGGGCTGAGCCACCACCGGACCACGGCCGGGGCCTCCCCTCTCCCCTCACTCGGGCCGGGGCCCCGCTTCCTTCTTCTCTCACCTTGTTCAGGGTGTCCAGGGCCTCCTGTGCGGCCAGCAGGGCCGGCTCCGCCTTGGCCAGGTCCGTTTCGCAAGCTTTTTGCTTCTCGGTGACATTCTGGAAGGAAGCCGGACAGCAGAGATCAACTTGGGTGCCTGTCTGGGAGGCGCATGCGGGGGGAGCCCGGGCCGGGGCTGCGAGGGAGCGAGGGGGGGTGAAGAGGGGGGCCCGCTGCGGGTTCCCCTCATGCTCACTGAGGCTCCAGTCACCGCCCGGAGCCCACCTTCCTCCTTCCTGCCTCCTTGGCCCCTGCCCCTCAACACTCAGGCCGCAATCGCTGACTTAGGATCCGGGAACGGGAGCTGTTGCTCCCACTGGCCCCAGCTTCCAGGCTGTGGGGAACCCGGGGCCAGGCAGACCACCCCGGCTGTGAGGCCTAGCGTTTCTGGGAACATTTCAGGGGTACAGCTCAGCCTCCCCTTAAGAAGGCGAGAGCGTCCTTCATCAGGCGCACATTCACTCATTCATTCACTCCGGCGCACATTCACTCATTCATTCACTCGGGCACACATTCACTCATTCATTCACTCAGGCGCACATTCACTCCTGCCTGCACACATTCACTTATTCTTTGGGTCAGGAAGAGCCCCTCTGAAGGGTGCCAAGCAGACAGACCCGTAGCAGCTTGGTGTCTATCAATAAGAAACAGCATCTATGTGATAATAGCGAATGAGGGGGAGGCGGGAGGGATTGGGACAGTAGGAGAGGGTCTCTGTAAGTCCTGTCCCAGGCAGGGCAAACGATCTCCCAGAGAACCCTGTCCTGCACCTGCTCTAGGGACTGTGTGGGGCACGACTGAGGGACCGGGGCACAGATGGACCCAGCCAGCTGGGCTGGGCAACACCCAGGCCTTCTTCCTGGAGCACCCGGGGGGCCATTTCCGGATGTGGGGGTTAGAGAGGGGTGGGCGCCCAGACACCGGGCAGCAGGTCACAGAGCTCAGGGTGCTGGACGCGGGTCCTGGCTCGGAGCCTGACTGTGTCACTTGCTAGTTTTGAGTCCTCAGCACGTGGCCGACCACAATGGGCCTCAGTTTCCTCATCTGCCTAACAGGGCATCCTCCGTCTCAAGAGACAGCGGACAATTTCTGGGACACTCTTAATTTAGACGCTGGAGCAGACACATGAGGATGGCACAGAACCAGGCAGGGAGGGGAGATGGTCAACCAACCAGCCGTGACAAGGACTCCAGCTAGGAGCCCACCTGCCGGTGACATCAGAGCCTCGGGGGCTCCTGGTGCAGTGCGTCCGAGGACCGGGGCTCCAGTGCAGCCTCCCCAAACCTTAACGCGCTCAAGGGCCCCAGCCTCTGGTTAGAATGCTGACGATACAGCCCAGGGGAGGGGGGCGGGCCCAGGAACCTGCATTTCTCACCAGCTCCCGGGGTTGCTGCCTCTGTGGCCTGGGGGCAGCAATGTGAGGAGCGTGGCTTCCAGTGGGGGGGGTCCCACTGGATTGGGGGCTCCTCAGCCTTTGCCCAGGCCTCCCCCGGGAGCCCCGCGGCGTAGACGCGTGCAGCCGCCCCCGGGGGCCGGGCCGTCCGCCCACCTTGTTGATGACTTCCACCTTGGCCTCCTCTTCGTCGGCGATGGCCTTCTCTTTGCTGACCTTCTCTGTCTCCACTCCCACCACCTGGATCAGCTTGTCCGCGTTTTCATTCTTCTGCTTCAGCTCAGCCTCCTGAATCGCCAGCTTGGCCTTCAAATCGTCCACCTGGGGGAGGAGACGCCATGAGGGGGGCCCCCCGGGCCCCCCACGTGGACCGGCCGGCGGCCACGGGGCCGAGCAGAGGGCCCTGAAGCACATTTCGATGCCTCTTTCAAACTTCTCTAAGGTAAGCACGTATTGAACGCCAACTGTACACACAGGGTCACAAGTACAAGACACAGTCCCGTGGCTCGGGGAGTTGACAGTCGGGGTGGCCTGATTAAAACAGGTCAGCAGAATCCGGGTGCCAGGGAGCTCTGGGGAGGCTGGAGCAGCAGCGAGAGGAAGCCTGGAGCCGGGGACACAGCCCTCCCGGGAGCGGGGATGCGTGAGGCCCGGGCCTGGCCCGGCGGGAGGGCTGCTGGGAACTAGTAAGTGACAGGGTGGGGTGTTCTCCCCACTTTGTGCCCATTTCTACCACAGGGAGGCTGCTCAGCTGCTGTAACCATCCTCGCCTGGGAGCTCTGTCCCAGGACCCGGCCTGGAAGATATATTTGGGAAAACGCAGCGACCGGCTGGGCTGCCCTGCTGACCCCGGGCCCCTGACCCCGCCCGCCCCAGTCCTGGCTGCCCCCCCACCTGAGAAGCCGTGCTCTGCAGCTTCATCAGGCCGTTCTCCAGCCTCTCGATCTTGGCCACCAGCTCCGCCCTCTTCTTGGCCAGCAGGTTCTGGTAGAGCTTGATCTGCTCCAGGAAGGTTTTGGGCGTGGTGTAGTTGTAGCGCCTCTCGATGGCCAGGTACACCTTGGACATCTCGTTGACGGTCGTGTGCACGTAGGCCATGAACAGGCTGATGGAGGTCTTGACTTCCGGCTGCAAAGGCAAGACGGGCCCTCGGGCCCCATTCGCTGCAGGGTGCGACCCCATTCCTGCGGGGGGGGGGTCCCTGGCCCTGGGAGGGGCCCAGGGGAGGAGGGCACTGGCCACAGTGGATCAGCAAGGTGGGGCTTCCCTCACTCGCCGGAGGACCCTGGATGAGACGCAGCCCCTTTCTCAGCCTCGGCGGTTCCACCGTCAAACGAGGCTGGAGACAGCGGACCTGTGGGGCTTTGACACTGCACCCCCAAGGGCTGGGCTCCGTGCCAGGCACAGCGGAGCTCATTGCTGTTCTCTCTCCGCGTGTGTCACACACTCACACCTGCACCCCCGGCAGCGAAGCGCCGGCCAATGTGTGCGAGGAACCCGGGCCGTTTGGCAGCATCCACTGTGCATCTCCTAGCTGGGCCCGGGTTCCACTAACTCCGTCACCAGCCTCTTCCGCCCTCGGTTCACACCAGGGCCACGTCTCCCACCACGGGGCCCGCCCCCCTGCCCGAGGACAGGTACTGGGAGCCCCGCCCCGGCACGGACCAGGCAATAGTAATTTTCATTCTGGTTAGTTTGGAAATGTGCTCATCCAACACTCGCTCCCATGGCATCTGCTCTGTGGCCCTGCTGGTGCCAGCGGTGGGCCACCCAGATCCTAGAAGGCCCATCCTGGGCTGGAAGCCCACATCGATGCCCGAGTGGCACATTGTGAAGCTGGCCCTAGGGACTCACCTGGATGCCCTCGGTCTCCTCCAGGAAGCGGGCGCTGACAGACACCAGAGCGTCTTCCGGCCACTCGTGGAACCAGTTGATGGCCGTGCAGTTGACCACAGCAGGGAACTTTCTCGCCCGGATACGCAGGATGGAGCCCACGGGGGAGAAACACAGGATCACCTGCGTGGGGAGCGGAGGAGCTGCTCGTGGGGCCCAGTCGCGCCCCGTGGCAGGACGCTCATTCCGAGGGGAAAGCCCTCGGTGAGGACTCAGCTCCAAGTGTCCGGGAGCCCATTCCCACCTCCGGGTTTAAAGTGTGGCCACTGCCCTTCGGCAGACACGTGCTCAGCTGACGTCACCACCCTCCCCAGCGATGTCAGGTGCAGGGGTCGGCCCCAAGCCCTTCTCAAGTGACACTCGCAGAGAGAGACGGAAAAGCCGGGATGAAGGACTGGCGGGGAATGGGCGTCCATGCTGGGAGGGCCACACTCCCTTTAGCGGGTCTGGTCCCCGGGGACACGGGGCCTCCTCCAGGCCCCCAAGGACCGCAGCTGATCCCCAGAGGAGCTGGGACTCCCTGGGGTCCGAGATGCAAGAGACTGCGCTGGGGTCCCTTTGGCAGGACTGGGAACTTCCTTCTCTTGGAAGCCTCAGCGTAGTTCCGCCTGCTTCCCCCAAGAGGGGGTGTTGGAGGTCAAGGTGACCCTACCCATTTAAACGTGCTCACTGTGTGTGTGTAAAACTCTTCCTTGGGCCACAAGATACCTCCAAGGGCCCCGTGCACCAGGCAGCCCCACCTGTCTGTCCTCTCCTAACGGATTCCCACATCCTGGGCTCCCACCTGCACCCAGACTAAAGAGCCGAGCCCCCCAAGGCCACGGGGTGCCAGGCCGGGCCCCCGGGCCCCGCAGAGACGGAGACGGTACCTTTAGCTGCTTGCGGACCTTCTCGATGAAGAATTTCCAGCACAGCTCCCGGGTGTCGACCATGCCAAGCGACTTCACCTGCGGCCGCATGGACGCGATGATGTTTTCCACCTCGTCGTCCATGAACAGCCCGGGGATCTCCCCCGAGGCCAGCAGGTCGTTGATCAGCACCAGAAACTGCTCCTCGGCCACCTGGGAGTCCGTCATCAGGAACACGGACGGCACATTCTTTACGGCCGACTTGATGTACTGCGAGCTCAGGTCGGTCTGCGCCCGGGGGGACGCTCTCAGGGTCCTGGCCGCGAGGACGCGCACGGAGGCGTCCCCACAGCCCCCCAGGATGGCACCCCCCAATCAACGTTGTAAGAAACACTGGGGTCTCTGGAGGGAGGGGCGAAACCCTGGGCGGAAACTGCTCACAGCACAGCAGCGCTGTGCGCCAGCCCAAAGCGGGGGGGGCACCCCCGTGTCTGCCCACGGATGCACGGCAAACACAGCGGGGCTGTCCACAGTGGGGTGCCCATCCACACAGTGGGGTGCCACGTAGCCCTAGAAACGAAGGAAGTTCTGACACATGGCCGGACCCTGAGGACATTACACTAGTTGAAATAAACCAGCCTCCAAGGGACAGATGCTGCGTGATGCCACTCCCGTGAGGTCCCTAGACGGTCAAATCCATAGAGACAGAGAGTGGAATGTGGGTGCCAGGGGCAGGGGGTGGGGGTCACCGATTAATGGGCAGAGGTTCAGTTTGGGACAACAAAGCATTCAGGAGATGGAAGGTGGGGATGGCCGCACAGCAGTGTGAATGTGCCCAGTGCCACCGAGCTGCAGGGCTCGACAGCTAAACTGTGTGTTACGCAGGTTTTATCACATACACAAGGGGGGGAAACCTTTAAATGGGGACCCTGAGCGAGGCCCCAAAAACGTGCACCACGGGCTTGGACCGGGAGGCTGAGCCCCGGGGAAAACGAGCAGCAGTGGCCGGGGCGAGGGCGAGCGGGCCGCACCTTGAGGTCCGGGATGCCGTAGCCCTTCTTGAGGGTGATCTGGAACACGTCCAGCGCGCTGATGTAGGCGGCCAGGCGCGACAGGCTCTGCTTGCCGCTGCCGCCCACGCCCACCAGCAGGGCGTTCCCGCGCGGCGACTCCAGGATGCGGTTGATCCTGCAGATGTGCGCCACCGCGGCTTCGAACAGCACCTGCCGGGGCCACACGCCTCAGCATGGGGCCTCGCGTGGACTCGCCTTCCACGGCACAGGGCTTCGTCCACCCCCGGCGGCGCTTGCCACGAATCACACAGCCCGGGAGCGCCATCGAAGCGCCCACGCTATCGGCTCGAGCCCTGCTCACCAAGTTCATGACCGCGTTGACCTCGTTGTAACTGTCCAGGACGTCTGAGAGGAGTCTGTTCAGGCGAGCCATGTCGGTCACCGGGAGGTATTTGGGGTCGCCGATCCCTTGAGCAAAGTGGCTGAAGATATTTGGTTTGGCAAATAAAAGCTCTTCGCCAAGATCCTACAGATAAGAGATAAGGTACTTCTGTGGCTGGCTGCTGTGGACACGCCGTGGACAGGCCGTGGACAGGCCGTGGACACAGCAGCCAGTGCCTCAGGAGGCCAGGTCAAGTCTCCTGGGGCCCAAACCATTGTTCCCGGGAGCCCTGGGGACAGCTGGGCAAACCCCTTGTGGGATGGTCCATCCCCATCAGATGAGAAACAAGCTGATCACCGAGACCAGCCAGGACGCTCCAGCAGAGCACCCGGACCCAAGGGGGCCTTTCTGCGCCCCTAGTGGACGGTGGGGGGCTGTCAGATCCTGACCCACCGAGGGGCCCATTCCTTCTCACTCAGATGCACACCCACGTGGCAGAGTCGTTTCGTGGGACCCAACGTGGTCCCCCCCCCCCGAGGGCCCTTCTAGGAGGGCTGAGGTTACCATCGGCCCAGGCAGCGAGCCCACTGGGAGCATTTTCAGGCTCTGCAGGGGGACCTGGTTGCTTGACTCACGTCAAAGAACTTCTTGGTGGACGCCATGGTGACTCGGTGCAACGCCTCCTGGTCTTTTTCGTCAACCATCTTGTCCCCGTACACTCTTTCCGCTTCATGCAGCCAGAGGCGGACGAGGTCAAACGGGGTTTTCAAGACCTCTGTTGTGGAAAACAAGAGCCCCTGCCCCCCCAGGACGCTCAGCATCTTCGGCCGGGCGTGAGGCAAGGCAGCCATGCGCTGGGCTGGGAGGAGCGGGGCCGCCGTCCCTTCCCGGGAGGAGCCATTTGGCTGCTGGTACAACGTCTCCCTAGGGCCAAGGAAGCTCCCAGCTGCCAAGTCCATGCAAACCCCAGAGACTGGAGGGTGTGACTGTGGCTGGAGAGACTCGGGGGACCTTTCCTCACAAGACAAGGTCAAGGGCTTCAGGCACCGTGGGGGAACCGGACTCAAAGGCCTCAGCGCAGTGGGGTTACAAGCTTGGGCCCTGCAGCCCGCCCGGGTCCAGCTCCGGCTCAGCGGGTTACTAACCAAGTGATATGGGCAAGTTCAACAGGCGCTTTTTGAGGGTCCGCTATTTTCCAGAGCTCTTCTGGGCTCTGGGAACATGGTGACAAGACAAACCCTGCCTTTATGGAGTTTGCATTTTAGTAGGAGATGTAACCGGGCCAAAAAACCAAAAAGCAAGGAAGTGACACACTGTGATGGGCTATGAATGACACAGGCAGCGGCAGTGAGAGAGTGTGGGAATGAGGAGGGACCCCCTGCGGACATGACATTTGAACTGACACTTGAAGTGGGAGGAGGTGGGCATGACTTCACCTCCCTGAGCCTTAGGCTCTCCTGTAACATGGGGATGTAAGAGCACTACAGGTTGTTTGGAGGAGAAAATGGGGGTGTAAGTGGCCTAACCCAGTGCCTGGCTCAGACTAAACATCAATAAATAAGAGGAAACGTCATCATTATCATCACCATCACCATGGTAACCATGTCACTGTCACTGTCATCACCATCATCACATCAATCATCACATCATCCACCATCATTATAATTACAGCATCACCATTATTATCACCATCACCACCCCCACCCCCATCACCATCACCACCCCCATCACCATCACCACCACCATCACCATCATCACCACCATCACCACCATCACCACCACCATCACCACCACCATCACCACCACCACCACCATCACCACAATCATCACCACCATCATTACCGCCACCATCATCATCACCATCACCACCATCTCCATCACCACCACCATCATCTCCATCACCACCACCATCTCCATCACCACCACCATCATCTCCATCACCATCATCATCTCCATCACCATCACCATCACCATCACCACCACCATCACCATCATCACCACCACCACCACCACCATCACCACCATCACCACCATCATCATCACCACCACCATCATCTCCATCACCACCATCATCTCCATCACCATCACCATCACCACCACCATCACCATCATCACCACCAACACCACCACCATCACCACCATCACCATCACTGTCATCAGTCCACAGGCCACTGCTTTCTCTCCTGAGGGAAGCAGAGGAGGAGAACGCCTATGGGTCAGACACTTGGCCGCAGGTGGCATGGCGCAGAGCTGGAAGAGCAGTACCTGGAAGATGTTGGAGAGGTCCCTGAGGTTGAAGATGTAATGAAACTTGATGGCGGTGGGAAGAAAGGTTTGTGTGACTTTCTGATGCAGGGCTGTTGTAGGAAACAGACATGTACCCTTATTCACTCTTAATGGCCTCAGGAAACGCAAAGCTTAGGGTATAGTTTCTAAACAAACGGACTCTGAGCCGGTGACAATTTAAGGGAGGACTCTGCAGAGCTGAGGGGGAGGAAGCCTGTTACCCTGGTGACGGGTAAGTCGTTCCTGCCCACCGACTTTCCTGTCTGCTGCTCCCCGCCCCCGCCCCAGCCATCGGGTTTAACAGCATCTCCTGTCGAAACATAGCATCCTTTAAAAAAATATTGATTTAAAAGTATAAATAAAATATTTACCGGGGGAAATAGGAAGCAGCCAGTGGCCTTACAAAGCAGAGGTTTCTGCCGACAGGAGAGGGGCCGCGGCTGGCCAGCTTACCCAGGGCCGAGGCCACCAGCAGGCTGCTCATCCGCTGGACCACCGTGGGGGCCGAGCGGTAGGCCAGGTGCTGGGACAGGATGGTGCTGTAGATGGTCGTGAGGGCCTCCTGGCCCGGGAAGCTCACGGCAAATACGCAGAAGTGGCGCTGCGGGAACAAGCACAGCCCCGCGTCAGGCCGCTCTTGGGGACCAGCTGGTGGCCCGGCCGCCCCCGTGGGGAGCGGATTCTGTCCTCACTGCCCGGTGTCCTGTGCGCGCGGCCAGAATGCCTTGTGTGTGGTAGAACCCGAGCAAGGTTTTATTCTCACCTGCTCGGCCGCCCGCACGCCCTGGCGGCCGCGGGAGGCGCCTGATCCCCGCCTACCTGAAGCCTGGAGTCGATGGTGAAGGAGCCGGAGGTGGGGTTCATGCAAGCCACGTACTGGCAGTTGTGGATGTCCTTCAGCGTCAGCTTCTGCCTGTCATACCTGTGTGGGCGGCCGGGGTTGGTGTCCTGCCCTAGCCCCC